AGAGGAACATCACTCACGTTGGGGCACTTGAGCTCCCAGGGGATCCCCGCCATGACGTCGACGGCGTCGGCCCCGCCCACCCCGATGCACACGGCCCCCAGCCCGCCCCCGTTGGGCGTGTGGGAGTCGGTGCCGATCAGCATCGCGCCGGGGAAGGCGTAGTTCTCCAGGATGATCTGCGAGGCGGCGAGAGGGTGGAAACGTCAGTGGAAGAAAGCAGAGAGAGCGTATAAATCTATATTTAAAAAAAGAAAACAGCATCTGAGATTTACCTGGTGGATGATTCCCGAGCCAGGCTTCCAGAAGCCCACTCCGTACTTTGCCCCAGCACTGGCCAGGAAGTTATACACCTCCTGATTCACTTCCTGGGTCACCAGAGAGACAAGAGCAAAACAGTTTAGCTTTTCACCTCTTCGCCCTCCCCTGTAAAGAACCACGGCAGGGACTAAGCACACCCCACGCGAACACCCCCCCCCATACAGGTCCCGATACCCGAATAACACTTCTCCCACTCACTCCACCCCCCCTCTCCTATCTTGCCTTCCTGCGGTACCCGACGACGGAAGATGAAGACCTCCTTCCCAGCCTCTTTCCCCCTCCCTTCCCAGCCCCCACCCCTCCCGCTGCCCTGCTGACCTTTGCCCTCTGCAGGTCCTGCACGCCCCCGAGCTGGGCCTCGATCAGGTGGTCGCAGTGGATGGTGGAGGGCACGGCGACCGTGGGCAGGCCGCTGCTGATGAACTGCAGCATGGCCATCTGCGCCGTGGCGTCCTGCATGGCCACCCGGTCGGGCCGCAGGCGCAGGTAGGTGCGGCCGCGGGCGACCTCCTGCCCCGCCGGGTCGTCCAGGTGACCGTACACGATCTTCTCGGACAGGGTGAGGGGCCGGTCCAGCCTGGGGGGGGGGAGGAGGTCCACAAGGACAGGTTTGTGACGGGGCAAGGAAGGGCGGCGTCGCCAGGGACCCACAAGGGGGGTCCAGCCTGACCCCCCCCCACCCCTCCCCCAGGTGGGCACGACTCTCACCTCTTGCGGACGATGTTGATGTTCCGGTGCAGCTTGTCGTAGTCGATGTAGCTCCCGGGCTCGAAGCGGCTCATGGACACCTTGGCCTTGGCGCTGAAGGCCGCCGTCACGTGCAGCCGCCGCGCGCCCTGCCCCAGGGCATGCTGGGAAGACAGCACACACAGAGCAGTCACTTTCCACGGTCGGTTCCACACACAGACTCGGCAGCTCCAGGAGTTTTTTTCCCCAGATCATGTTTTAACAGACACGGGGCTCCAGGCTGTAGGGGCTCATCCTGGACTGGGACCCTGGCTGTGATCTCCAGGCTGTAGGG